ACTGGAGAACACTTCTATGTACATATTGTACTTGCAAGTTTCTATATACTTAAGAATGTGTCATTAGTAATGGATGGGGAAAATAATTTGTCTCTCCACTACAAATCAGCAAAATTAATTGCAACCTGGCCCCATTCCCCCATATACCTTAAAAACATCCCCAGGATTTCTATGCACGGCCCTCTGAGGGGCACAAGACCTCTGGTACTTACTCACCCCTAGCAAATGCAGAATCAAAATATACATCTATAGGAATGCTAAAAATCAAGGGAATACAAAACCGAGCACCCCTTCACCCAAAAGACAGCAGGGCAGCAACCTATTTAATACTAGCATTTTGTAAATTCTTGGAAGGAGACCAAACAGAATGGTTGTTTCTTTGGGAACTAAATGTGTCCTGCTAAAATAAAGCATCTAAGATGCAACACAAAAGCAGCAACAAAGGCTCTATGAATACACCACACTACTTCCACTATTTCCTACAGCTCTTAAAGAGGAAACCCAAATAGGGAAAATAGTAATATTTCTGCTGAGAACAGCTTACTCAGCTCTCTGCAAATATATAGACTTTTTCACAAGACGCTAGACACACAGAACATTTGAATCACCTATAAACCTCTCTACAGATGAATAAAAAAATCTCCTTAGAAATGAAGTGATGCCCTGTGTGATACGTCAATTTTTTAAATATTATCAGGCACCTGCATCCGCCGAAAGGGTTTGATTCTCATACTGCTGATATCTTCCCAAGCACCAAAGCCTAAAAAAGAAAGAAAAAGATCCTTGTATTCAAAGAAATAACCCTGAAGTTCCAGATTAATAGAGAACTCTATTTCCATTTGATTCCTTGAAACTCTTCCAGTTAATGTGCTTTGGCTGTAGCTTGATGGACTCAATTATTATTTTTTGTGGGTATGCTTGATGTGGAAGTGGCGAAAGGTTGTAAGAAACAAATGCAGAAATTGGATGTAGACCAGAGCCAGAAATTATGGTGAGTCTAGAGGCCCATAAGCAATATTGGAGGACAAATCTATATACTCACTGTGCTTTGAAAAGTCTCCATATTTAAGGATGGGTCAATGACTCTGGATCCAATAGGGGGACAAACCACCCTCTCCCACTGAAAGTCCCATTCACCTCCAAACTTCTTTTAAAATGTGAACACTGCTTGAATAGTTCATAGTTTATGAGCTTTATTTCAGAAAAAGAAATTACTGCAGGAAGTGGCAGACACACAAGCAACAGGCACACTGTGTGTCTGCAGTTATATGTGTTGCTACAGAAAAACACAGAGAAATAATATATACAAGACCAAAAGTGTACTGATAAGCCTTCAGAGTTTCTGAATTTGAAAATTAATCTCTAGTGATAGGCACAGATGCATTCTGGGTTTTTTTTCAGAATGCATCTGTGCCCACAGATCATTCTCTATGTATTTTTTAAAATCTGGAGTACCAAATTATTTCCATCTCTGCTATATATAAAGCTAGATAGAATCATTATTTTATATCTCGGCATCAAACACCATACATCCTCTGTGCATTCAGAGATATCCAGCTAACTGATGAATACTGTCCAGTACTTACTACTGAGAAATGTGACGGAGCCAGGTGTAATAGCACTGACCCGATTACTGTAACTCTTTGTTAACTGCTCAGATGCTTTCCTTGGACGAGCTTCAAGGAGAAGAATTTTCTTATCACGGAGATGGATGTCATGCCCTTGGGGGAAAAGCAAATGTTCATCTATTTTTTACAAAGGTTAACTAAGATTTTCTAACATCTTGCAACAAGGATTCACAAGTAAATAACTCAATTTTTGAGTTTTCCTCCAAATACACTGAATTGCTTATGATTCTACTGCAAGTGTAGGCACTTTCAGTTCAAGGACCAAATTCAGTTGCAGATAAGTTCTTGGGAGCTGTATAGTAACCCTTGGTCATTCCTTTTCCTCCCAACTTAAAGAGTAAAGAGAGGAGCCAAGAAGACCGTGCCATCTTGTCTTCAGTGTCATCAGTTGGGAGTCCCTCCTCCCAACACCAACTGCTGCTCGTGACCAGAGTAAAGAGAGGGGCCAAGAAGAATAAAGAGAGAGATCCAGGAAGATATTGTATTTATTGTATTGTATATTACTCGTAAGCTGCTCTGGGCAGAAGGGCAGCATATAAATGTCATAAATAAATAAAGTGTCTGAGGGGGGAAAGGAAAGGGCCTGAGGCTGTTAGGAATGGTGGGAGCTGAACTCCAAAACATTTGCAGTCCCCAACTTTACCCAGGCCTAGACTCCTCTATGGAATGGCTGCAGCTTGGCCCCACTTTTGTAAAACTACAACCCCATAACATTAACCCACAGCCAGTTACAAGTGGCCTCAGGCTGCATTCATTCCACACTATCATTGCACTCTGTGCTTGTTCCTTCCTCAGAGTGTTTCTCCACTCTGGAGAGACATTGTATTGATATGGAAATGATACCTAACACCAGTAAGAATAGCAAATATAAATAAAAAACTACTCAAAAATGCTGGAGAGAATGTCAAGAATCAGGAACATATATACATATTTGGTTGCAATGTAAATATGTAAATAATTTTGGGGGGAAAGTATTTAGAGAAATAGAAGATACGAGGGGTATTTTTTAAGTAAGGTCCGTTTTGTTGTAGACACTAGTATTTCGCGCGCATACTGCAACGAGCGCGTGCGTCGTGTACCAGCATGCCTCAGGAACAACTGTGCTCAGTTTCTGCTCTGCAGCTAACCTGTATGGTTCTGTTCTGTGCTTTAAAAATATTTAAGACCATCAACTCACCCTCCGCATGTGAGGTTTGCTCAGTGATACGGTTTTTGTCAGCCAAGAACCTGCCTACTGCAGAAATTCATCGACAGATTTGTGAAGTGTACGGTGATACTGTTATGAGTGAAAGCAAAGTGCGTAAGTGGGTACGACAATTCAAAGATGGCCGTGACAACGTCCATGAAGAGGACCGCTCCGGTTGCTCTTCTTTGATTACAGACGATTTGGTTATTGGAGCAGGCGGCAAGTTTTTATGAAGAGGGTATTTTAAAATTGGTTCAGAGGTATGATAAGTGTTTGAACAAACTTTGCAACTATGTTGAAAAATAGAGTGAAGTATGTACTTTCTGAAAATAAATTAATTTTTGAAATAAAATTTCATTGTGTACTTATGTTCCAACGGACCTTACTTAAAAAATACCCCTCGTATAATGAACATTAAAATAGAAAGAAGTCCTAGTATAGCCTTTTCATTATAGAATGATAAACAATTGAAAAAAGAGGATAAAGATGCAATAACAAACTTATTAACAATAGCAAGACTGCTTTTAGCAAGGAACTGGAAAAGAGAAATAAATATACAAATAGAGGAGTGGTACAAGAAAGTATGGAAATTGGCAATAAATGATAAGCTGACATTTATATTAAAAGTTAAAAGAGGTATCTGGAAACAAAGTGATTTTGATGATGTATAGAGAAAATTTATTGAAAAAGGATTAAAAAAACAAAGAAAGTTACTTTCTTTGAAATTTTAGACACATAGAAATTTTAGACAGATGATATGTAAAAGGTGGGGCTTGGGATGGGGGAGGGGAGCACAGCGGTGAGGGATAGATAATATGTATAAGCAGAAAAATAACACTAGATGCCGAAAGTTAAAGTATGGTAGGTTGCATTGAATAATATGTATCTGCTGTAAAATAAACAATGAAGCACCGTGATTGTGGCGCAGCTGGCTGAGTGTCAGCTGCATTAAGATCACTCTGACCAAAAGGTCATGACTTCAAAGCCAGCCCGGGTTGGAGTGGGTTTCCAACCAATTGTGTGTAGCCTGTTGTCGACCTTTGCAACCCGAAAGACAGTTGCATCTGTCAAGTAGGAAAAAAAGGTACCATCTTAAAGTGCGGGGAGGCTAAATTAACTGATTTATGAGGCCATAAAGAAGACTCCAGCAAAGCATTCCAGCGGGGAAGCATGCAGGAATGCGGAAGTGCTTCATCAGTGTCGCAGATGGACATATATGTGTACACTGTAATCCGCCCTGAGTCCCCTGCAGGGTGAGAAGGGCGGAATATGAAAGCTGTAAATAAATAAATAAACAATGTATAACAAATGTATTGGACCATGATTATATATATATATATATATATATATATATATATATATATATAAGGAATGGTGGGAGTTGAAGTCCAAAACTCCTGGAGGGCCCAAATTTGCTCAGGGCTGCAACTTGTTGTAGCAATACTGATAGTTTGCAAGTTCTCCCTGCCCTGGGAGGCTCCTACCCAAAGCGGCGGCCATGGCAGTCCCGACCATGCCGCCCCCGGACACCACCACATCATACACCGCCGTCGACCCGCTACACTTCCTCGCGGAGCCCCGTCCCAACGCAGACCCGAGAGGGAGCCCCAGGGTCTTCCTACAACCAGGCCCAAGGCCCCGACACGAGAAGCAGCCGATGCCCGCCGCCATTTTGGAAGTAATGCCCCGTGACCGGAAATGAACTGCCCAGCACCTTGACAACGGCGAGAAGACAACAGAACCCGACCAATGAGTGCCAAGAGAGGGCGGGGCCGCGTGGTGATTGGTCGCTATGACAGAGACGTTCCAAAAGGAGTGTTCCTATTGGTCGAGGTTCTAGAGGCAAAGCATGGTGGTGGTCGAGCCGAGAATGACGGTGTCGGCGGCTGGAGCGGAGCCCAAGGAGATGGGACGGGTACAGTGCAGATACTGACCTCAATAATAGCCCAAGGCAGCAGGTCTCCTCTGATCCTTGAAGCTAAGCAGTGTCAGCCCTGGTCCATACTTGGGTGGGAGACCGCCAAGCAATATCAGGTGCTATAATATAAGGCTATATTTCTGAGGATGGGACTTGGCAGTATTCCTTGCCTAAGAGAACTATATGGAATTCATGGGTTGGCATAATAAAGCAATGTACACATATGGTGCAAATAATAATAATATCTGAAATACTAATAATTGATTATCATTGTGTTGTCGAAGGCTTTCATGGCTGGGATCACTGGGTTGCTGTGAGCTTTCTGGGCTGAATGGCCATATTCCTGAAGCATTCTCTCCTGACGTTTCTCCCACATCTATAACACGCATCCTCAGAGGTTGTGAGGTCTGTTGGAAACTAAGTAAGTGAGTATATTGTCGAAGGCTTTCATGGCCGGAATCACTGGGTTGTTGTAGGTTTTTTCGGGCTATATGGCCATGTTCTAGAGGCATTCTCTCCTGACGTTTCGCCTGCGTCTATGGCAAGCATCCTCAGAGGTAGTGAGGATGCTTGCCATACCTCTGAGGATGCTTGCCATAGATGCAGGCGAAACGTCAGGAGAGAATATAGCCCAAAAAAACCTACAACAACCCAGTAAATAAGTGAGGTTTATATATCTGTGGAATAATGTCCAGGGTGGAAGGACTCTTGTATAAATGTTGCAAATGGCCACCTGGATTACCACTGAATGGCCTTGCAACTTCAAAGCCTGGCTGCTTTCTGTCTGTGGGAATTCTTTGTTGGGAGGCCCTGATTGTTTCCTGTCTGGAATTCCCCTGCTTTTTGAGTGTTGTTCTTTATTTACTGTCCTGATTTTTTAATTTTTTAAAATACTGGTTTTGTTCATTTTCATGGTTTCCTCCTTTCTGTTGAAATTGTCCACATGCTTGTGGATTTCAATGGCTTTTCTGTATTGCCTGACATGGTAGTTGTTAGAGTGGTCCAGCATTTCTGTATTCTCAAATAATACTGGCTACCAGTATTTTAAAAAACCATCTGAAATCAAGACAGTAAATAAAGAGCAACACTGAAAAAGCAGGAGAATTCCAAGCAAGAATCTATCAGGGCCAGCTAACTCCTCCTAACAAAGGATTCTTCCAGGTAGCAACCCGCCTGGCTTTACAGCTGCAAGGCTATTCAGTGCTAATCAAGATGGCCAATTGCAACATTCACATTTGCCTCCAATACACAAGAGTTCTTTCTCCCACCCTGGACATTCCACAGATATATAAACCCCTATTTTCCTAGTTTCCAACAGAACTCACAACCCCTGAGTTTGCCTGCCATAGATGTGGGTGAAACATCAGGAGAGAATGCTTCTGAAACACAGCCATACATCCCTGAAAACTCTCAGCAGCCCAGAAATACCAGCCATGAAAACCTGTGACAACACATTTCCTGTATTTATTTATTTATGAAGTGATAAAAATGTTTTAATAATAGTATTGATGCACTGATGATAATTTTAGCTATCTTGAGGCACCATTTTCTGAAACAGAAATCCTGAAAGCATCTTGTAACAACTACATTATTATTATTATTATTTCTTACCCACCTCTCCTCTTGGCTCGAGGCAGGTTACAGAAAAAAAGAAAGAAAAATAAGCAATAGAATCAGAACATCTATAATCTAAAATTACAGTATATCGCAAATAATATTCGCTCCCATGGAAACCATAATAAGCAACTTTATTTAAAAGTTATTCTTCCTAAGTTTTAGGGTTTAATTTGCAAGTAACCCCCTGGTGGCGCAGCGTGTTAAACCGCTGAGCTGATGAACTTGCTAACCAAAAAGTTGACGATTCGAATCTGGGGAGCGGGGTGAGCTTCCACTGTTAGTCCAGCTCCTGCCAACCTAACAGTTTGGAAGCATTCAAATGTGAGTAGATTGATAGGTACTGCTTTGGTGGGAAGGTAACAGCGCTCGATGCAATCATGCTGGCCACATGATCTTGGAGGTGTCTAAGGACAAGGCCAGCTCTTCGACTTAGAAATTGAGATTAGCACCACCCCCCTCCCCCAGAGTTGGACACAACTAGACTTACTGTCAGGGGACACCTTTACCTTTACCTTGCAAGTAGCTGTGCACGAACAGAAATTACAGTATTAAAAGGGGAAACATATCCATCATCAGATTGGCTTGTTGAAAAATTAAGCTCATGATCAATGTTGAATCATTTGGCAGAGAAAGTGGTGTATATGAAATCAATGTTTCTTTTTTTACACAGAGATAAAAGTGAGGTATGAACAAACATATATACTGGTAAATAATAATAATAATAATGTTATGATGATGATTTTTGAAATGCTTTTTTGTGTTCAATGTCTTCCTCTTGTTTTCTCATTGGCCCAGGTTTTTCCGATGGAAGGACAATCAGATTCCGGATCGGACATGGAGCAGGCCGGCCATGCCAATCTACCCAACAGAAGGGAGCTGCTGGATTTGCTCCTGTCAGATGAAGCTGGTTCCTCGCATTCTGACAGGGGCTTTTATGACTCGCTTCAGATCCTGAAAGAAAAAAACAGACAGTATTTGCTAGAGTTAGGTCATATGTACCACCAAAGACTGACAAACATCCTCAAACCATCCAAGGAAGAGAAGGAATTGGAAGACTTTTTCCAAGACAATGGAAGACTGATGTTGTCAACAAAGTACCATGAAGCTTTCAGGTAAAATGTATCACAGTGCCTTATTTTTTTCCATAGTATTAACAGGTTGTATTGGAGAGATTTCTCCTTGATCTATCTATAGCAGGCATGGGCAAACTTGGGCCCTCCAGATGTTTTGGACTTTAACTCTCACAATTCCTAACAGCTGGTAGGAAGGAAGGAACCGCTGTTAACCGCTGTGAGTCGCCTAAGAGCTGAGAACAGCGGTATACAAATAAAGTAAATAAATAAATAATAAATAAATAAATAAGGAAGGAAGGAAGAAAGGGGAGAAATACAGAATGGAGGTGGAAAAAAAGAAGAGAAGGGAAGGAAATCTCTGAGGGATTTTTTGCTAGTTTTTTGCTATACACTTGAGTGCTGTTGTTAGACCACACTTTCATACTAAGGAAGACCATCCAGCCAATAAAAGTAATGCAATAGGCTTGAAACTCTTCCTTACCATGCAAGCTAAAAATGTACAAAATTATTTCATTTCTTCAGAGTAAGACATTCTCAAGTACAATCTTTCTCTTTACCTTTGTGCCCTTTGTACCTTATCCTCAGGTCTGGGAACATAAGAAGGGTCAGGTCTTTGACTGACCTCACATTAAATAACTCAGATGATGTGCACAATCATTATTCGCCTTCACAGCCTTTTTCAAAATCAAAGAGTGCCTCAGATGCTTGGGTCCCTTCTATCACGATCCCTCAACCCTTCAAAATGACATTGCGAGAAGCTCGCGAAAAGTCTCTGATGTTAAAATCACACGCGTTGCTTGAACTTGAGACAACTGAACAGAAAAGACAAAGCCAAGAAGAGGCAGAGTGCCAGAAGCAGTTCAGGGCCCAACCTGTCCCTGCGCACGTCTATTTGCCCCTCTACCAGGAAATCATGGAAAAGAATGAAATCCGTAGACAGGTGGAAACGCAGAAGAGAAGGGAACTGCTCCTTTCGATGCAAAAACCCTTCAGCTTTGAGGAAAAAGAAAAAAAGAGGAAGGAGGCCATCCGGCAAAAGGTTCTGGACATCATGGGTCCTGCTAAAAAAATAGCACCAAAAATCAAGAAGAGGATCCCCAAGTCCACTTTTGAACCAGTGTTTGGGGATAAACTCAAAGGTAAAGGGTTGAGTGTGTATTCCAGAGAAAGAGTCATGTCATATTATGGCAGCTATTAATATGTATTCTTCCTCTGTGAAGAAGTTCACTTTTGCTGGGAAAGATGTCCCTGGGGGTTTTGCAATTTGACTGGGACTTCCAGTGTGGGTGATTAAGGCTTGGTGGCCAGAAATTCTTCGTCCTCAGTAGGGAAAAGTAGATAAAATTTAATGATTTCTTTAAAAGATTTTGTCAAGCTTCTGCAGATTTTCCCTGTAGATCAGGCATAGGTAAACTTCGGCCCTCCAGGTGTTTTGGACTTCAACTCCCATCATTCCTAACAGCTGGTTTAAATCCAGAAAATTTGGAGGGGCCAATTTTGCCCATGCCTGCTGTAGACCCTTGTTATTTTCTGCCTGTGAGGTCACCGTTTCTGGTGCCAGTAAGCCTACCATCTTTAAGGATGGAGTTTATCTACAGGTGCATCTACAATGTTGAATTAATGCAGTTTGAAAGTACTTTCACTGCCCTGCGTCAATGCTGTGGAATTCTGCAGTTTGTAGTTTGATGAGGTACCACCACTCTTTATCAGAGAAACTAAAAACTTTTTGAAACTACAGCTCCCATGTTTCCATAGCATTGAGCCATGAAAGGCCTCATCTACACTGCCCTATAATGCAGTCTGAAACTACATTGTAAGGTCAGTGTAAAATCATATAATGCGGTTTAACTGTATTGAACTATATTATATGACTCTATACTGGCCATATAATGCAATTTTAACTGCTTTATATGGCAGTGTAGATGGAGCCATAATTAAAGTGGTGTGAAACCCCATTAATTCTATAGTGTAGATGCACCCTCAAACTTGAGATAATTTAAAGGCATGGCTAGAATGTACAGTTCCTGAACTCATACAGGAAATCAATGAGAATTACTAAATTGTTCTAAATAATAATATATATATTCTATATAGTTTTGCACCTGGTATTTCAAATTACATGATTCTAGGCATTCTGAATTTTCAGATTTTCTTGTCTTCACAATCACCCGTAAAATTGCATGATTATTATTATTTAGGAAGTAAACATTTATATTGTCTGTTGGAGAATCTGAGCTGTTAGGCTCAAAAAGTAACCCTCAGTTGGGGTGTGGTGAACTAGAATAGGCTTCTATTCTTCTGGATGGCTTAGGATTGCAGAGTCAGAACTTTAGGTTCAAAAATATTTATTGAAGTATTGGAGCTAACTAGCTTACTATCTTCTAAAGGAGGGAAGAGGTTAAAAAAAAGTCCATGCAGCTACATTTTCCCTAGAGAGAGGCAAAATGTGCATCCTCATAGGTAGAAAGAAAAGCAGAACACTGAAAGTGGTGGAGACCACATGGTCAACCCAGGGCAGTTACAAACATAAAAGGAAGTTTCCTCACAGAATTCTATTACTACATTATCTAAGATGGCTAGCAGTGAAGAGGAAATACAAAGCCCTTTTGGGAAAACATGCATAGAATGTGGGCAAAGGAATCCTTCAGCTTAGCCTTATCTCTAACCTAGCTACTCATTGAGGACTGGAAACTTGTGCAGTCCAGGCATGAAATCCAACATTGTCCTATTAATATTTCAAGACCTCTAGTGTTCCAGTTTTTTTTACTGCAACATCAGACAGATTTGTATACCTTCTTCCGATGCTGAATGTTCACTGCTTTTGCTTTTAATCCTCAGAAACTGAACTTTTAAGAAAAATCCGTATTCAGATGAGATCTAAGGATTTACTGGAAACCTCCTGGGCGCCTATTGAGCTGGACAACAGACGGAGAAAGAAAGGATCCCAAACTGCCACCAAGAACAGGGAAGAAAAGCTTAGCTTTCTACAGGAAAACTTCAGTTTTAAACCACGAATTAACAAATCAGTGCCTGACTTTGAAGGACTTTACTGGGCTTTCAAACGAGATGCACAAAGCAAACGAGAAATGAAGGAAGCAACTCATAATAAACCATTCCAACTGAGAACTTCTAATCTCCGTTGCAAACATCGGGAGATGATGGTAAAAGGAATAGTTTTAACCTACTCCTTTAGCCTACTTCATGTTTACATTGCAGTGTTAGTCCTTACTAGGGAGAAAATTGTTGTGGAACAAGAAAAACATGCAGTGCCACTGCTTTAAAATATAATTGCTTTCTATTCGGGGGGAAAAATAAAATGTTGTGGAACAAGACGAACAAGCAATGGACTTATATTAAAATATAATTCCTTTCTATTGGAATAATTTTTAAAAAATGAAGGAGATAAGGGACATACAGTGGGTCCTCCACATTTGTTGAAGTTAGGGACACAGGACCCCCCACAAAAAGGGAAAAACACACACACACACAAATATATTTTTTTAATCTGAGCACCTCTCGTAGAACCTGTAAGTCTTTCAGCATAACTCTATGGTCAACTTCTGCTGAAAGTTGACAACGGAATTGTGTTGGAAGATCTAGAGATTCCTAACAGTAAATGTAAAGGTTTTCCCTGACATTAAATCTAATCATGTCTGACTCTGGGGTGTGGTGCTAATTTCCATTTCTAAGCTGAAGAGTCAGTGTTGTCCATAGACACCTCCAAGGTCATGTGGCTGGCATGACTGCATGGAGTACTGCTACCTTCCTGCCGGAGAGGAGCGGTACCTATTGATCGACTCACATTTGCATGTTTTCAAACTGCTAGGTTGGCAGAAGCTGGGGCTAACAGTGGGAGTTCACCCTGCTCCCTGAGTTCAAACCACCAACCTTTTGGTCAGCATGTTCCGCAGCTCATTGGTTTAACCCGTTGCACCACCGGGAGCTCCAGAGGTTCCTAGAGAGAACATATTAATCAGATCCATGGATAATCAAATCTGCAAATGTGGAGAGCCAATTGTACTTTCACTAATGATAGAAAATACTAACATTGGGATAAAGAGGAGGTAGAGGAGATGGCATTTCATAAGCTTTACCAGGTCAACATTGGCAGGGAGAAAAGGTGGAAAGGGTCTCCACTTTCGAATGTTTTCCTTCCACTGCCTCCAGTGAAATATATTTGCCAGGACTTTGAGAACTTCCTCTTTGAGAGTATAGCTCATTGAATCCCTTAGCTCAGTGGTTCTCAACCTGTGGATGTTTTGGCCTTCAACTGGTAAACTGGCTGGGATTTCTGGGAGTTGTAGACCAAAACTCCTGAGCACCCATTGGTTGAGAATCACTGTGTTCACTAAAATAACTAGCCACTGGAGGCTTTAGTTGGGTTAGCAAAAGCAGCCGGAAAAACTGCTTTGCTAGCCAAACTGTATATGTCTTAATCAGTGTCCAGTGCATGGGGTTACGCACACATGCACATACATGAGGAAGTGAACATACAGCTAAATACATATAAAAAGGCTTTTAAAATCTGTACAAAATATTCTTGCTTTCAGGAAGTACCTCAGCCTTCCAAGGCACCGTTACAAAGAAGCCGTTCTTTGACTTGTCTTTCCTCCCTTTCCTCCAATACACTTCCAGTGTATATAACGGATGCCGCGAGAAAGAGGAAATCTGCTATTAAGTGAGCAATAATATCTGTGATTATCTCTTTCATTCATTGTGGGTGATAAATGTGTTCAGGTCATGTTAACTGAGCTTATTTTTATATAAAAAACAAACTATTCTAGGTAACAAGCCTACTATTCAGTTAATGTGGAAAAGCGATTAGAAATATGACCAGGAGGAAAGATCCTGGTCAATTTTCTATAGACTTTCTTGCCTTTCTGCAGCTCCAGGTCATCATATGAAATAGGCTGTTACTTTAGTCATATGAAGGTGCCATCAGCTACATTTCTTTTTCTAGCAGAGGACTAGTACAGCTTTACATTGTTCACATTGTTTTGTCTGGAAAATTTGACTTGCTCGTCTTGGATTTCTGGTTTTGGATTATTTTATTTTGATGTACTAATGTTCTGCTTGTTGGGCGAGTGGGCATATTAACAAAAGACCCTCCTCATAAATGCACTGCAGAGTAACTTATTAGTAGCAGCGTGACCGAGCACCAGTAGCCAAAAGTGATAAAAGGAAAAAAACACACAGACCAATGTTATCTCTTCCATAGGAGGCTTTTCTTTATAGTAATATAATATGGTTGCACTATTTACAAGAACAAGGTTTCCATAACACGAACAAATTTCTTTACACTTCCTTCTTTACTTCCAGGCTGGGCTTCTTTCTCATGCAGTTAAACAGCTCTGCTCTCACAGAGCCCCTTCTCACACCAAAGTTACTCTGGAGCTTCACACAGTAGCTTTTTACACACAGCAGACTTCCCACTGAAGCTTCACACATGATGGCCTTCAACCTGGGGCTTCCTCTCACCAAAGCTTCTCACACCAGGCCTTCTCATACTGAGGCCTAGTCTTAATGAGGCCTATTTTATGTATTTTATTTATTTACGGTATTTAGATTCCGCCGTTCTCACCCTGAAGGTGACTTGGGTACACATAGTCGGTAAACATTCAATGCCGTTTATACACTGACAAGACAGACAACTGTACATAGATAGAGGTATATATAGGCTTTTCCCATCTTCAGCATCTTGGAGGCTTGTGCTCGGTTTCAGCCATGGGAGGTGTAGGTGTGTGTGTGTGTGTGCTAATGCTCCATTTTCCTGCTGAAGAGTTTTGTTTGTAAACTTCCTCCTTGATTGAATTAGCGGCATTTTTCTGGCATTTTGTTATGGGTGCCTTAAATACCTCCCCGCTTTTAAGCAGCACCCATTTATCCACCCACATTCTTGCTACTTCACACTGAGGCCTACTAACACTGAGGCATTCTCATACTGAGGCAAACTAAAACCAGAGGCTTTTCATACTGAGGCTTTCTCATACTAAGGCTTCACCCATACTGAGGGCAACTAACACTGAGGCGTACTAAGCTACAGGCACGCCTACTTATATTGAACTTCAGCTTTCGCTGAGTCATTGCATCCATTTAACCCTTTCAGTGTTTGACTCACTTTTTTGTAATTAAAAATACCTAGTTAATTTTTAATATTTCTGACACTGCTTACCGTGTCCTTCTCAACAGACTCCTCCAAGAGGATAAAAAATACAAGGAGAATGAAGGAGTTCGCTGGGCCGAGCTGCAGAGGAAGAAATGCCAAGCTATGCATAAGACTGTGAATTCCCGAGCAAAAGCCATGGATCCCCATAAAAGCTTGGAGGAGACGTACAACGAAAAGCTAAAACAGAACTGGTCAGTATTCAGATTGGTTAGGTAATATATTACTGGAATTTAATAAAGGGTTACTAGGTAATGAACTTAATGAAATTAGAATAACTTTAGAACAGGATTAGGGAAAAGAGCATGAGCACAGTAGTATGCACCAGAGTTTTTGGCATACAATATAAGCATGTGATTCACGAAAACAAAGTTTGTATGTATGTACATTGAATCTTCAGGAAGCAAAGATGTCACTGTCTCAGCCACCTATGTGGACAATTTCAGATTTTCCAGTATTTTGGATTTCAGAATTCCAGAAAAGGATGCTCAAGCTGTATCAGCACTGCTATGTATTTTTAATGTGTAATTGCAAGTCTTCAGCTATTTTCTGTCAGTAAAAAAAACAAAACTCTTGTTACAGGCAGAATGACCAAAAAAGACTGAAAGAGTATCAAAAAGAACTAAATGAGATGAAGACGCGAGTGAAAAACCGTCCATATTTATTTGAACAGATCTCAAAGGTAACTAATTCTTGTATGAGTGAAAAAAGAAGTGCTAGCAAAAACCTGATGAGGGAATTAAGAGCAAAGGACTGTTTCAGTTACAAATTAGCTATACTACACTCTGTAAGGCAGGAGTGGGAATCATGTTGTCTTTGTAATGTTTGACTGGCACTTCCTTCAACCCAAGACAGCATAGCTGCTTGGAGATGCTGTGGCACAATGGGTTAAACCCTTGTTTCAGCTGAACTGCTGACTTGAGGGATGGCGATTTGAATCTGCAAGATGGGGTGAGCTCCCATCTGTCAGCTCCAACTTCCCATGTGAGGACATGAGAGAAGCCTCCCACAGGATGATAAAACATCCAGGCGTCCCCTGAGCCAACGCCTTTGCGGACAGCCAATTCTCTCACACCAGAAGCAACTTGCAGTTTCTCAAGTAGCTTCTGACATACATATACACACACACACAAAACATAGGTACTGTCAAGGAATGGTGGAAGTTACAGTTCCACAACATCTGGATTGTTGCATCATTCCCATACCTAATGTAAAAGTAAACATGACCTTAATGTACAAGTAGCACAAAACAGTACATGATGCTTTCAATCTAGTCAAAAGTAGATGAGTTTCAATATAATGACCATTGAAGCATTCCCTCAATTGAACAGTCTAAAGCAGGGGTCCTCAATCTTCTTAAGCAGAGGGCCAGGTCACAGTCCCTCAAACTGTTGGAGGGCTGGATTATAATTTGAAAAATGCATGAATGAATTCCTATGCACACTGCACATATCTAATTTGTAGTGCAAAAAACACTTTAAAACAATACAATAATTAAAATGAAGAATAATCTTAACAAATATAAACTTATTAGTATTTCAATGGGAAGTGTGGGCCTGCTTTTGGGTGATGAGATAGGATTGTTGTTGCTGTTGTTGTTGTTGTTGTTGTGTGCTTTCAAGTCATTTCAGACTTAGATTGACCCTGAGCGAGGGCCGGGTAAATGACCTTGGAGGGCCGTATCTGGCCCCCGGGCCTTAGTTTGAGGACCCCTGGTCTAAAGCACATATTTCTACCAATATTAAGAGGAATACCCACCTGCCATCTTAGTGTAGAAAATAATTTGAATTATTCCCAAAGGGAAGAGGATCTGCTAAAATGTCTCACTTTTGATTCAATAGCACGGTGCTCGGCAGGGAGCTCAGAGGCTCTTCCAAGAAACCTTGCAGCAGTTTGGGTTGGATGAAGAATTTGTAAGAAAAAAAGGGAGAGAAGCCACTGGCCCAGTAAGGAAGGAGACGTCTGCAATGAAAAGGTATATAAAGTGCATAGAATACATCTATGCTGAAAATAAAATCAGTTACATTTACACATATCCAGTTACACAGCTGGATATGGAGGAATTGATAATTGGCCATGGTAAGGGAATTTCCTATCACTTTAGAAAGCTCTGTAGGCATAGATGTACCACCAGCAGAGGTTGATTTAGGAACAGTTTTGAATGCATAGCAGCCCAAGACCCTAATTTCCCCCAGTATGGTTCCAGATCGATAGTTGCCCAGAACTAAAAATGGGGGGTTGAGATTGTAAAAGGCCCACCCTCAAAGACCTGCTGGGCCTGTAGTGAAGACTTAGGAAATGACAGTTTATCCACAATAGATTTTTTTCTTTGCCCTGACTTTAGGTTTAGTTTGTAGGCTGTGTACTGAAATTCTCCGCCTGGCCGTAAAATTCATTGGCTGATCTTAGTTGAGTCGTACTATCACCACATGCGCTTGGAGAGTTTCGTTGGAAGACCATGATAAAATTGTGCGTGTGGGATCCTTACCAAATGGAGAGGAATTCAAAATATTGTCGAAGGCTTTCATGGCCAGAATCACTGGGTTGTTGTAGGTTTTTCCGGGCTATATGGCCATGTTCTGGAGGCAATTTTTCTCCTGACGTTTCGCCTGCATCTGTGGCAAGCATCCTCAGAGGAAAACCTACAACAACCCAGAATTCAAAATAGTCCCTAATTTCCCCCAGTATTGTTCCAGATCGACAGTAGCCTAGAGCTAAAAATGGGGGGTTGAGACTGTAAAAGGCCCACCCTCAAATGCTTGCTGAACCTGTAGTCAAGACTTTGTAAATGGTGGTTTCTCCATGATAGAATTTTTCCTTGCCCTGACTTGGATCCTTACCCAATGGAGAGGAATTCAAAATAGTATTGCAACTATGACTATTTCTTCAGTATTGTTACTAGCAAGAGGCACATTACATTCTGAAAATATTTGAAATTACTGTTTTTTATCAACAGAATCCAGAAGTCCCAAAGGGATACAGAAGTTGATATCATAAAGGAACTGTCTCAAGAAGGACAGAGAAGATTGGAATTAGAGTAGGAATCTGTTAGGACTCCCCATGTATCTCCAGCTTACTCTCCAATCAAATGTAATACATCCTTGACATTAAGGCAATACTTGCAGTATGAAAAAATGGAGCCAACTGAATATGTTGTTTATGTGTGATCATGCTATGTACCTAATTGGATCTGTTGCACTTTAGATAATTTAGCACCCCAATTGTGCTGACACAATCCCTAGCGTCCCTCCCTCTGCTTGCTGAATTGCCCACTGTACACCCATATTAATTGAAAGTCTTAATTTCTACGGTAGCGTAAAGGTTCCAATTCCCTGCATTGGGGCAGAATAGAGATGAGTTACTACAAGAGGAATAATCAAGTTTTTTCTTTGCAGGTATAAACATATGGATAATAGGTTGTTTTAGTTTTTTCGGGCAATATGGCCATGTTCTAGAAGCATTCTCTCCTGACGTTTCACCTGCATCTAAGAAGGCATCCTCAGAGGTTGTGAGGTCTGACCTACAACAACCCAGTGATTCTGGCCAGGAAAGCCTTCGACAATATATGGATAATCTATATAAATAAAAATGTAATGTTCGTTTGTGGGATTAACATAACTCAAAAACCACTGAACGAATTGACGCCAAATTTGGACACAATACACTTATCTGGCCAACAAGTGACCATCACTTGTAAAAACACTGAAAAACACAGTAGAAACCAAAACGTAAAAAATACATTACAACGCATGTGCACAACCACATACACACGCACACATATAAGCAAACACATATACACACACATATACACATATATACACATACAAAACACATTAACACACGTTGGGCCACAGCAACATGTGGCAGGGGACGGTTAGTAGTTTTATAAAATGTATGTATTCTCTCAGTGACTTGGTTGCACTATTTGCAGAAGAAGTGGCTAGGGCAGTGCTTCTTAAGCTATCTCATGTGGGATAACTAGTGATTTTTTTCTTCTAGTGTGCCAGGAACTGATACTATATGTGTCCATTGACTATCGTTATTTCTTTCTCACCTGGAATCTCTCCAAGGAGTGGCAGCTAATGGTTCCTGGACCAACACTGGTTCATGGAACACCATTTTAAGTAGGACTCAGAGGATTTACTCCCATTTTTTCTCCTCCCAGTCTCCTGCAAGGCTAATGAGAAGACATTTGCTGTAGCAACTGAGACGACTGCAATCCTAAATGCTATTCTAATTCTTGGTGGCTTTCTTAGAAGAAGGGATCTATTCAGCCAAGTGGTGTGTGTGTGTAGGACAACAGGCAAGTTAAAATGTGCCTTTATTGCCTGGAATCCTTTATTGCCTGGAATCCTATTGGTGTATTACATTTGTCATTGCATTTTTTCTATGGTTGCATACTAGCAGTGAGAGAAAGCAGACAAAATCTTTTGGCACCAAGCAACTTACTTTTCCAATGCCTTTCTGCTTTCATGCCCATTGCTTACACCAAACTTTTCCAAATACTTCCTATTGGTGACACTTTTTAGACATATATCGTTTTGCAACACAATAAATGAATTTTGCTAGTAAACCAGAGGTTCAACCAATTATTTAGAAGATATATGAATATTTATGCAAATTGTAGTATATTTCAAAATATATCATTTATATGTTTCAAAATATATGATTTATTGACTCAGAGGTTCATGCGACATATCTACTCACTGCAGCCAACACAGTAACAGGTTGTGACACACAGTTTGGAAAGTTCTGGTGAACATCAATGTCGTACACCAAAAGAATTTTGGAGTCTGCTTTTCATTTTAGCCCAAGGAACAATTCTCAGACGAGGAATATATGACAGATCCTGGTATTCAATCCTTAGTAAATGAGTCTAAAACTATGAGCCAGCTTACTGCATCTGAGATATTTCAAAGACAATAGACAAAGACAAGTATCTTTATTCGCCTTTTTTTTTTCATGTCAGGAGCAAATTGAGAAACTGAAAGTCGCTTCTGGTATGAGAGAATTGGCCGTCTGCAAGGACGTTGCCCAGGACACACCTGGATGTTTTACCATCCTTGTGGGAAGCTTCTCTCATGTCCTCGCATGGGGAGCTCGAACTAACAGAGGGAGCTCATCCATGTTCTCCCCAGTTTCGAACCTCCAACTTGTTGGTCTTCAGTACTACCAATACAAGTGTTTAACCCATTGTGCCACCGGAGTCTCCTATTCACCTAATGATTCCTATTGAAAGATACTGCCATCAAGCTCTTATCCAGTCTATATCAATAGCTCATCTGTTTTGATTTTGCAGAGAAGTCTGTGTAAGCCTGTAGACACACCTAATAGACACACCTAACAGACACACCCTAGAGTTTGATGTTTCCTGTTTGTTTCAGACAATCCCCCCAAATAATATAAACCTAAAAAAACTTGAGATCTGAAATTATGCTCAGATTTAATGCCCCTAAACCATCACTGTTCTATCTAGTAATTCTGTCCCTTCAGTTAAGAGCCACTTCACATACCACACTGCAGCAAATGCATGTTTGCTACTACATATACACTATCAATGCTAAATCTAGTCATACCACATTTTGTATACTGACATTACCTTAATATGTATGAAATTTTAAATCCAGCTGCCGTGCTTTTCTAAAAATATTTTTGAGAAATTTGAAAATTATTACCACTAATGCCAGGAATTATTTATGTTTGAAAAGAAAGGAAGCAATACTGTATGTATGTATTTAAAAAAATCCAAAATCCAAAAAGCGGTAATACAATTAGCCCTCTATATTTGTGGGTTTGATTATATATTTATTTGATTAAAACATTCTCTTTAGGAATTTCTAGGTCCTCCAGTGCAATTGTGTACTCCACTTCCAGCAGAGGTTGACCATAGAGCTGTGGTGGAGGATCTTAAAATTTCAAGAGGTGTTCTTTCAGGTAAAGCAAAATGGCAATTTTAAAAAAAAATAATATTCATTGATATATAAGACAACGAATAGAATAGCTTTTTTATTTGCCAATTTTCACTTTTACAGTTGTTTTGTACCCCTAATTCCAATAAATGTGGAGACCTATCTCTAATGTGTATGCATATGCCTTCCAGTCACCTGTCTCATGAATTTCATAGGGTTTTTTTATGCAGGGAATGATTGAGGTGGTTTTGCCACTTTCTTCCTCTTAAATCTTATCTACAGCACTTAAAATTCATTGGCGATCTCCCATCTTCCTTAGCTTCCAAGGTCAGGCAGAAACTGGTGCCTTTCAGGTATTTAGGTGCAGGTAAGGACCACACAAAGTGGCACAAGAATAATGACACTCTCCATATTTCTAGAGAATGAGTCATTATTTGCTTCTATATGACAACAACCTTATCTTTGCTTCTAAATGACAACAACCTTAGCACCCAGTAGAGTTTAACCCTTTAAAGTCTGTCATCTTATCAATTTTGCCTGACAATAGTATCTGAGAAGTCACAACATGGCATTTGGATAGTCCTGTAGTCCAAATGTAGTACTTAGGACCTGGTTCTAGTCTCACTTCTGAGATTCAAAAGATATTCTTCTACTGTTATACTAGAACATGACTTTTAAAACCGACTAACCATAGCTTTCTGTCACAGCTGAGAAGCTATGGTTAATGCTCTCTAAGCAAGCCAGAATATTAAGTCATGATTTAAACTCAGCATCAATATTTTCATTTGTTTACAACCTATTAATATTTTTTTTCCAATTTCAGAGCAAGCCTTCTTGGCTTGTTTACACAAAGCAGGAGGAAGATGATTGTAAACAACTCTTAAACAGAGATGTGGTTTTGTGAGTAAGATATGTGTCCAAAACAATTCTGCCCTAAAAGCAAGAAATCAAAGTTAGAGAGTTGGGTAGGGACCCTGGGAGATCAGGGTTCAAATCCCCAGTTGGCCATGGAAGTCCATTGGATGATCTTGGGCAAGTCACACTCTCTCAGCCTCAGAGAAAGGTAGCAGAAAACCCCTCTGAACAAATCTTCCCAAAGAAACTCCATAACAGATTCACTTTAGGGTCAACATAAGTCAGAAATGTCTTGAAGGCACATAGCAACAAACAACAAAAGACAATGGGTTGCTGTGAGTTTTCTGGGCTGTATGGCCATGTTCCAGAAGCATTCTCCTGACGTTTCACCCACACCTATGGCAGGCATCCTCAGATTTTGTGTGGTCTGTTGGAAACTAGGCGAGTGGGGTTTATATATCTGTAGAATGTCCAAGGTGGGAGAAAGAACTCTTGCCTGTTGGAGACAAGTGTGAATGTTGCAATTGGTCAGCTTGATTCGCATTGAATACTCTTGCAGCTTCAAAGCCTGGCTGCTTCCTGCTTGGGGCAATCCTTTGTTGGGAAGTGTTAGCAGGCCCTGATCGTTTCATGTACTGTTTTTTGAGGAACAAAGAGTTCTTTCTCCCACCCTGGACATTTCACAGATATATACACCTCACTTGCCTAGTTTCCAACAGACCTCACAACCTCTGAGGCTGCCTGCTATAGATATGGGTAAATGTCAGGAGAGAATGCTTCTGGAATATGGCCATACAGTCCAGAAAACTCACAGCAACCCAGTGATTCTGGCCATGAAAGCCTTCAACAATACACTGAACAAAAGACAAATTTACATTATGCCAAATAAAATTCTATCCTTATGTTGCATTGTGTATTTGGGTACAAGTTAAAGTTTAAAAAAATGTGCAATGTGCATCCTTATTTTCTAGGATTTGTACCCACATAAACTTTTTAAGTATACTCATGTTAACTCAATAAACTTCTCATGGTAAAAGAGAAATTTTAAGTCATAGTTTTGTTACAGCAGGTATTTCTTTGATATGATTAGTTATTGCATTATATTTTATACTGAAATATTAGTGTTTTGCTGTGTTCTTAGACAAATCCAAAGAATCCAATTTAATGTTGCCACTCATACTTCACTCAACAGCAAGTGCCAGACTGCTCCCTGCTCTTTTTTCCTCCCAAGTATGCTTTGTAGGCATTCTAAATCTAACAGAATTTAGTAACCCAAAGTAACATTTCTTCACATTGGTTTGAATTTCTCTGTGCAATTAACAAGCGTTTTAAATATAATATGTTGTATTTTATAATGCATTAATTCCACAAAGATATGATCAAGCAGCTATTTCTTAGAAATTACTCACCCTGTCACTCTAAACAAGGAAAAGTTATGAACTGTAATAAGGAAATAAATGCTGAATTAAGCACATCAGAAATTTTAAGTATACAGTTTATTTACAACAGAAGGACACAGAGTAGTTTCTAACTATGATTGTTTTTTTTTAAATTAAAAGCCCTAATAAGCCTAATAATTAGATATTAAAATATCACAGCAATAACTGAGGGTGTCTGAGACAGCCCTCTGAATAACGCCAGGTCTTCATTTTGGAGCAAAAGCAGCATTAGTGAATGTATCCACACACAGCAAGGGGACATGAAAGCTCCAGCTCAAAGAGTGCCACAGAACCGGCCCAATAATTCAGAAGCAAGGATGGGACTGCTGCGCCTTGATGCCAAATTCACTACCACCTAAAGATAGTTTTCCACGAAGTCAATACAACGCTGAGCTTATGTTTAGCTTCCGGTGAGAAACAAAGTGGCTTGAGACTAGTTATAAGAGCATCAATAACTGGCCGGCCTTTGCACACCAGGTTTAACAGGAACACACCACACTGTTCAGACTTTAGTAGAAGCTTCTGAATCCATTCTTCAGAAAACAGAGAAACCATATTAGAGACCTCTGGTCTGGGAAGGCAGGAGAAGTACCGCAGAGGCACTTCACAAATCCCGGTAACTGAAGTACCAAATGGTTTTTTTGGGAGTACCACACAGATATGTCCAATAGCTTCATTTCTTGTATTCAGTGCTTCATAGCTTTGTTCCTCCTTTTGTAACTTTCTGCGCAAAACAACACAAAATAGTTTAAATCCAACATTTTTTAGATGAAAGGCTTTAATAAACCAAATGTTTTTAAAGGCTTCTTTGGAGGCTTTTAAGCAGAGACTGGATGGCCATCTGTTGGGGGTGCTTTGAATGTGATTTTCCTGCTTCTTGGCAGGAGGATGGACTGGATGGTCCACAAGATCTCTTCCAACTCAATGATTCTAAGTATGAGAAATAAGAGGAATCAATCCATACGATGCTTCCAGTATTCTGAGACTCACTGTATGGATTATATGCATTTCTCCCTTTCTGCAAACAGAACGCATTAGCTGCTTCCTAACTGAGATAAAACATAGTTTTGCTTCCTTTCAAAGTAATCAAATTCTGGGGCTAAATGCAACACTGCAGTGCCAAAATGTTCTTTTCCTCTCCAGTCTGCCGCTCCATTTAACAAACTATTCCAGAGGATTTTCCAGCCCCATAAAGTTTTTGATGATACTGTGCAGAAGGGAGATGAACTCAAACCTCCTCTAGCTTTAAAACGAGGTCTGAAATTGATGGTAAAGAAGGCTGTTAATCCAATATAACAAACTATATGGTACAATAGCTATGCCACATCAATTTTTTTTGCTCTTAATTTAATAAAACATTATAAAGGCAGTTTAACTAGATTGTAGACTTACTAATATTAGGTTGAAACCATGCACAAATGTAGACTCTACGATCCTCACTGGTTTTAGCTTATTTTTTAGAGTTCGTATATCTGTTGTTATCCTGCTCATCTTCAGCAAGAGAAAAAATAAAACTTTCCTGAAACTAGAATTATGCTTTACAAAATGGAATATAAATTTTTCTAGACCAACCTGTGGATCTACTGTAGCAAAGATGAGACCCCATAAGAATGTCTTGATACTGACATGGGCATTAGATGATGAGATGGCAAAACCACATCAGGAGCAGCGTGAAGAGAATTTGATGTTGCTTCAGCAAGAACCTCTGCTATTAGGCAAAAGAATAAATTATACTTTAAAAAACAAAGTGAATATTTCACCAGGAACTCAAAAGGATATTTGCTCTTAAGAAAAAGGCTGACACACATACTGTCTGCAATCCAACTTCCTCATATATCTAATCCATAAAGAAAATGGACAACAGAAGGAACTGCAAACTCAAATGTCAACTCTGCTAATGGTAAGATACAGTGGGAAGACAGAAAATGTATTCCCCAAAAACTAAGTCACAAATAAAAGACATCTGGTTTGGAAGGACAAAAGAGACACGTAAACAAACCCGCATACCTTTTCCCCCACACCTCCAGGTCAGACACAATATATACCAATAATAGCAATTTATATCACACCCTTCAAAAAGTATCTAGATACCAATATCAACCCTCAAGGAAATTTAGGAAATTAACGTATATACTCCAGTATAAGCCAGGTTTTTCAGCCCTTTTTTCAGCTGAAAAAGCCCCTCTTGGCTTATACTTGAGTCAAAGTTATATATCATTTTACTCTGTTGTTATTATTATTATTTTATTAAATTTCTTATTTTACTCTATTTTTACATTATTTTTATTCTTACATTTCTTCTTTTACTTTATTATTGATATTATCACATTTACATTATTTTACTCTATCATTATTATTACGTTTATTACTTTATTCTCTTTATTATTATTGGAAGGATACATAAGCACATTTACATTGAAGAAGGTTATTTATTTATTTATTTATTTATTATTTGAACTTATATGCTGCCACTCCCCTGGGGCTCGAAGCGGCTTACAAGAACGGCTAAAATCGAATACAATTTAAAACAATTTAAAAACAATCAGAGATCAAAGGCCCGTCGAAATAGATATGTCTTACATGCCCTGCAGAAAGCTGATAAATCCCGCAAGGCACGGACTTCAGGTGGTAAAGTAGAATAATGGTTTAATCAGAGTTGGACAGCCTTATCTTAAATTACAGTTTTATACAAAAACATTTAACCCACTGATGCCTCAATTAATGCAATTTTATTGTATCTATTTTTATTTTGAAATTTACCAGTAGCTGCTGCATTTCCCATTCTCGGTTTATACTTGAGTCAATGCATTTTCCCAGTTTTGGCTTATATTTGGCTTATATTTGGGTCGGCTTATACTCAAGTATATACAGTATC